CAGCACCCCTCCAAGGCCTCCTTCATGAGCTCCTGCATCCAGGATCCTGCCCTGTTTGAGTTCCTGTTGTGACTTCCTCCAGTGATGGAATAGGATATGGAAGCCTAAGTTGAACAAACCCTCTCCTCTCTAAGGTACTTTGTTCAAGGTGTTCATTCATCGCAGCAATAGAAACCCTGAGAAGGACACTGCCGAAGAACGGGGACCTGCATCTAGTACCACCCAGAACCAGTGAGAAAAGTCAGGCCAGGTGTGGTGGCTCCCACTTGAAGTCCCAGTGTGCAAGAGACACTAGGTGGGTCTCTCAGGTTTTCTGGCTGCCAGCCTAGCCTAACCAGTGAGATCCAGCTCCCAGTGAGAGACCCCAGCCTCAGAAAACAAGGTGCATGGTTCATGAGGAATATCAACCGAGGTTAACGTTGAACTCTGGCCTTTACACTCTTGTGTCAGCATATGTGCAAGCGTTGGCACCCCCCCCATGGAAGTTAGTGCCAGTGTCTCCAGCACTACCCCCCCCCCTTGCTGAGTAGAGTCTGCTGGTGCTGAGGATAGCCTGGTGGAGTGAGGGAACAAGGAACTTCCCACCTGTTTTGTGTTCCCCTGGGCTCTGCTTCCTCTTTTATCTCTGGACATTATCTTGTATCTATACCACTGTGATGACCAGACCCTCTTGACTGTCACCTCTTTTAATGATGATATTTTAATTGTTGACATGACCTGGCTGGTCTTTAGATCATCCCTGCTCCTCATAGGTCCTGAGGACTTGTTTCTCCTGTCACCAACCAGTGCTGTGACAGGTGGTTGTGGTTGGATTTTAAGTAGAACTATCCTAGCAGTCCCTCTCCAGGGAGTACTGTTCCCATCATAAGCTGTGGGACTACAACACTCAGGAATTTTGCAGTGTAAGACTCCATTGGCCATATGCCTCTCTTTGGCAACCGAGAAAGAATAAGCCACTTATCACAATTTCTGCAAGTCACTGAAAGACATTGCATGTGCGATTGGTCCTGAGTTTGAGTTTTGACCAATTCTGATGTTTCATAATGCAGAAGTCCTTCACCTACTATGGTGGTTTTATAAACTTGGATGGCTTGCACTACACTTTCCAGAATCCTCTACCCTGTCTGTTTCCAGTACCACATAGGAGATTTCTGTAGAGAACTGATATGAAGAAACAGACATTTTCCTTTTCTTCCTATAGTTCAGGTGAGGCATTTTCTGTGGTTCAAAGATGTTATTTCAGGTTCATATCATCAACATGAAGCCATCTTCCCATATACCCCTGCCCTCTTCAGCATCTCATTCAAAGGTCAGGTGTATATTTACTTCCCTAATGAAAGATACCACCCCCTCCCCAGGACAATAATATCATCAAAGTCAAAGATATAAGAGCTGACCTGCTTCCAGCCTGTGACCTTGAAGCTACTAGGCCTCTCTCACTCGATGAACTTCTGACCTCTCCTTCCCAAGGGCTCAGTTCCTAGCAGTGGGACTGTAAGAGCAAGGTAGACTGAGAAAAAGTCACCTTGAGAAATTCCCTGCATGGCACAAGGCTGATTCATCGCCAGCCAAGGAGCCATAAACTGTGCCCACCCCGGCCAAAGTGATTCCATCTGAATGCTCAGGCAATGACTAATTTTGGTAAACAACATCTTCTCGACACAACCGTCCTTGTGTGCAACCTTTAGTATCAATTTTGAAATTCCCCTAGACCTCTGTCAATGAATCCAAAGGTCACCTACTCTCACATTATCCTGAACAACTAAGACACGTACCACCCTGCTTGTGGTTTTTTCCTTTATAAACCCTTTGCAATTGAGGCCAGGCACCCTCTTCCTGCCGATGCTACACCTGTTTGCTGGACAGCGTCCCTGCTGAGGCTTGTAGCTTAACAACAAACCTTGTGTGTTTTCATCAGTGAGTCTGCTCCTTGGTGGTCTTTTGGGGTCTGATGAACTTGGCATAAGAATAGGACACTCTGCAGTTATGCAGTGTGCAATGCCATTGACTATGCCCCATTGACAGTCTTTAGTGGTGGAAATGGCAAGCAGACACTGAACCCAGGGCTGGGTACCAGGTAAAATGCCTTTGTCTGTCTTGCCTGCACAGTACAAGGTGTCAAACTCCAACAACAGATGACAGACACGAGAAACCACTTAATCAGCTTTACAACTGAGTAAGGTCACAGGCCTGGGACAAGTCTCCCATGTTGCATTAAAATGTCCCACAGCTTCTTTGCCTGAACTCTGAATTCTACACTTTCCATGGAGAATGTATTCCTGGTAAATGCTGTAGTTGGGGCCTATGTAGGAGGGAAAACAAATGAGGGTTACAAATAAGCCTGCTCATCCATGAATTCCAAAGAAAATAACACTTCATGTACACACACACACACACACACACACACACACACACACACACGAGAAACAGAGACAGAGACAGAGGGACAGAGAAAGAAAGAAAGAAAGAAAGAAAGAAAGAAAGAAAGAAAGGAGGAAGGAATGAAGGAGGGAAAGAAGAAAGACAGAAAGGGAGAAAGCAGACGGCTAAGAATGTGTGAACAGAACATCTCAGTATCTCAGGAGTAAAACTGGAATTAATGAGAGGCAATTTTTTTAATCTGTTCACAGGGACTCATCGGGAACCAGATGTTTTGGCTCTTGGAGCTAGTTCCTGCACTGAGCTAGCATGAACTTGACCACACACCCCCCCACACACACATGCAGACACTCACCACATACACAGACAGACACACTCACCCCCCTACACATACATGCAGACACTCACCACAGACATATACACACACACACACACACACACACACACACACACACACACACACACACACCACCACCACCACCACCAGCATCAATGGGCTTCACCTTTGTTTTACGCTAGGATCAGCGATGAATAAAATTTTCTTTTTTGGCCTCAGATCAGAACCACGGTGATAAAAATGTGTTATAGAGTAGACACAAAAATTCAAAAGACAGGAGATATCTGTTAGGGAAGTTTCCATTTTCTGTGGTTATATTTATTTGCATATGCAAATAGATGCTAGTGAATATCACTTGATTCTCAAGACAATGAACCACCCTCCCAGTCCCCTTGGGACTGACAAGATGGCTGAGGTCCTGAGAGGAAAGTTAATTAGTATACATCTCAACAATGTATTTATGGCCAGGCACATAGTAGGTGCTCACTAATCATTTGGTTATTGTGGAAGGCTTTTGAGTATGACAGTTTAAAGCACAGAATTTAGGGGTGGTGACATAGGTGTCAAGCCCTAACTCTGCATTTCAGTAGACAGGTGTGGCAAGGTCAAGAGCTTAATCTTATCATTCCTTACTATAAAATGGGGGGAGGGATAACAGATCTTTTGTGTAGGTTGTTCAGAGGATTCAGTGGAATCGTGAGCTGTGCACAATGTTTGACGCTGATGGGGGATGTCTTTTTGTATATATGTTTCTCTTATTGATTGATGAATAAAATACTGATTGGCCAGTAGCCAGGCAGGAGGTATAGGCAGGGTTAACAGACAAGGAGAATTCTGGGGAGAGGAGATGCCATATAGCCAAGGAAGGAGTAACAGATCCAGACCCTTCTCTGGTAAGATAAGACCACATGGAAATACTTAGATGAATAGAAATGGGTTAATAATTAAGAGAGAGGTAGCCAATAAGAAGTCTGAACCATCGGCCAAACAGTTTATACTTAACACAAGTCTCTGTGTGTTTATTTGGGACTGAAGGGTGGCGGGACCGGTCAGGACAGAAACTCAAGCAACTTGACACAATGATTGTTATAATGGTGATTGAGGTTATAGCGATGATGTATGAGCTGGATGTGAACCTATAAGAGTGTCAGTCATTCCTTAGTCATGTGCCCAGTGGCAGCTCAATGTCTTCTCCATTCCTCAGCTGGCGAGCTTAGACAGAGGATATCCGATGCTGTTTTAGTGGCTTGCTGACAATTATTTTTCATTCAAGGCAGTGTTTGATGCACTGTTGACCTCCGCTCAGGGCCAGGAAAAGCTATGGGCCATGGGGGAAGAAAAAGCAGTCCTTTCCAGCCCAGGCATTCCCAGTGGGGTCCCAGCGTTATCTGCTCACATGAATGGCTGGCCTCTGACACATTTGAAACAAGTTCTTCATCAAAACCAGCCTTTCCCAATGGCTCCCTCACTCCTGTGTCCCTTTATTACTTCCATCAGCCCTTCCCCCGCTGGCTCCATTTGACCTTTAATAAGCACTGCTCTTGTGGAGGGCTGCTGGTGAGTTGCTGCCATCCCAGCATCTCCCCGGGGCTGGCTACCTCTGTAGCCCCTGGCCTCCCTAAAGCTTGTAAGGGAAAATTACATTTTAATCTACGTCCAATAGTTCCATCCTCTGCCCCACCTGGGTTTTGGAGTCAAGGGGAGGAAAAGGTGTTTTGTTTTGTTTCTTCTCTTGCTCTGACCCCTGCCTGTGACCCTGTCTTTCATGCACTCAGTTTCCTCTGCTCTGGGCCATAGCTCACCTGGGGAAACCACATGACCCCATTGGCAGCCTTCACTCAGGTCATTGTCCCCAGAGCCCCGGTGTCATCAAAGACTCAGAGGTCAGCAGAAGATGATACCTGCAGCCACCTGATAGTCCTTGAGTGGAACTGTGTGGAGGCCTATAGAAATGACTCAGCTTCATCTTGACTTAAGGTCAGAGAGTTCAAATCCATTATTACTCCCTCAAAGTTAAACCACAGAATGTTTGACCTAAGATGTGGTTATTGTGTTTCTTGCCTCGACAACAGGATATTTGGTTTTGGGATCTGTTACTTGATGTTTTGGGTACTGAGGTAATTATACTTGCTTGTTCTTTGTATCTTGGTAAGGAATCTTTTTGCCTTCCCCCACTTTTGATAGGAGTATATAAGGACTGTGTGTAATAAACCTGGGACTTTTCCCCCAGTATTCACTGGAGATTCCCTCCCGACTCTTTCCTGAGTCTCTGTCTTTTCTTTAGTATCAATACTCAGGTGGCACCCAGATGTTGTTGTTTCCTGGACCCTGGATACTACAAGTGGCCCCTCAATGTGGGGAACAGACAGATGGTTCACAACTCAGGCTATGACAGAACTGGAAAAGCCTGATGTCTTCTGTGGTTGCTGCAGACCAGGTGAGTCTATCCTGACACGTTGCACCTGCTGTGACTTCATGCTCTTTCTGTGCTTCTTTTCATCCAGCACAAAGTTCACTCATCTGACACCTTAAAGTGTATCCAGAAATCTCCATGTTCAGAGCATTTCACTACCCCAAAAGACCCCTGTTCCCACAGAGCTTTTCCTTCCAGAACTCCATCCCCAGCCCCTTCAAGCACCCATTTATGTTGTTTCTACTAATTTGTCTGCTCTGCTTGGTCATGGGTTATTGGGGAAACACTAGCAGCATTCATGTGTGCTCATTACACAAATTGATGCATATCACCATGACAATCCCATACATCATATACAGTCTCATCTACTTTGCTTGTATTGCCCTCAATCCTCCCTCTTCCTTGTGAGTCTCTCACTGGGTGCCTTCCTTCCCCTCAAAATAATCCAATGAGTATATCTGGATTTTTTTGTTGTTGTTCATTTAACAAGATCGTTTCAATGTTCATCAGTGTTGTACCTACTTTTTGATGGTGGTATCATATTCAATTGCATGGAAATACAATATTTTGGGTTATCCATCCATCCTTTGATGGGAATTTGGATGGTTTATGCCTTTAGTTCCTACACAATGCTGTTGTATTTGGGCACAGACTTGTCAGAACACTTTTTTCCAGTTCTCTGTACCAGAGTAGAGTGACTGTGTCCTGTAGCTGTTCTTCATTTAACTGACTGAGTGTGTCCTAGCAGCTGTGCCCCCTCATGGCCTTACCAGCCAAATTTTCAGATTGCCTATGACTTTCTAGACATCTGACAGTTTTCAGTTTGGGGGTTCTAGCCATCCTGGTGAGTTTGAAATCTTGTGTGGTTTTGATTTGAATTTCCTTAGTGACCAACACTATACATTTTTCAATGTGTGCTACTTTTAGATAAATGGCCAATTCCATGACTTTCCTCTATTTAAAACTGAATTATATGTTTTGTTGTTGTTGAATTATTGTTTATTCTTTTTAGAAATATTGTATTATATCTTTGAGAATTGTGTACAGTATTTCTATCATTAGGATTTTCATGTGTTAGCCCTCTGGCATCTGGTGGGGGCGTGGTGAAGACACACAGGTTGAGAACCACTGTGTTAAAGGGGAAGAGCTAGAACATTTGAGAGCTGCCCAGAAGAATAAAGTTTGAGCTCCTCATTCTTTCTAGTACTTCCTTAATAATGCTAAGCATTTTCTTGAAGGACATTGACATTTTGTAATAACTATAGTACACAAATTGTTGAATCCCATGGCTTGGTGAGATTTGGAATGACATAGGAGAGGAATATAAAAATAAGAAATCTCTGTGCCTTTCTGTTACCACCTTGGAATCCTTAGTGAAGGGGGTGGATCTAGATTTAACCAGTTCAGCAGATGTGTTCTACTGCGGAGCCAGCAGAATGATTCTGCACTGGGATGCCAAGGTTTCTGATAAACAGCCTGAAGAACTAGGAGTGATGTTTGTGCTTGGACTTGGTCCCATAGACATGTAACACCCTGAAGGCTCTAACGAGCAAATGGAAGACTCTAATTTTATTATCCAGATATTTTTTCCGCAGTCTTGCATAAAGAGGAGTGACATTCAGAAGTGTCTCCTAAATCATCGGGGAGAGATCCAATTATGTTTGCTGTCATTCCTGTTATCTCTACTTAGAAGGATCTAATTTTATATAAATTAGTTACCTGAGTATGAGAAACAAAAATCTCTTCCCCAATCAAACAAGCGATCATTCTCCAAAAAGTTCAGTGACAGAGAAATTCAAGCCTCCGAGGCTAAGGTTGGCCTCTGTAAAGCTGGGTTGTGTTATATAATGATGTAATGTCACAGGCACAAGTGTGAGCATCCTGATAATTCATCCCCTGCATTTTCAGTGCAGCAAAGGTGACATCTAAACAAGGAAGGCACCAAAGACCTTTTGTGAACATAAAGTTTTTGGTAATGGATTATTTCCAATCAGTCTTCACTCATCACCTTCAACTCCCCAGGAAATGTAAGTCCACTTCAGCAGACCCCTGGGCAATTTGGTCACAATGAGTGTCCCTCTTGAACAGATCCAGTCCCCATAAGCAGGCCTATTGAAGGCACAGATTGGGTCAAGTGGTTTCATCCGGCCTCCTCGAGACATCCCAGCTGAGTCAGGATAATTGCAGTGCTGCTGTGCCTAGCAGAAAGGTCTCATGGGAACCCAGAGAAAGAACAGTAGGTCTTAGTTAGTGAGAGCAGGGAGAGGACTGGGAGCCACAGGGTTGTAACGACACATGCAGCTTCCTCTTGCTGGCTGGGGGGCCGCAGCTAAGTGGCTTTGCTTGTCTATGTAACATTCCATCTTTGCCTTGCTCCTTCATGGATTCCATGAATCGACCTGACTTACTAAGTGTCAACTCCCACGACGTCATTGTTGCTAGAGCTGTAGGCAAGGAGCACATGTGTGGAGCATGCATAGAAGCATGGGCAAGGTCCCCTGGCTGGGAAATACAAGGGCCTAGAATCAACACAATGAGTGGATTCTGTGTCGACAAAGGCATCGCCTGGGTCTTCTCCCAGCTGCTGAATTCCCAGAGCTTAGCGTCTTGCTAGAGAGTGGGCACTTAGTAAATACTGCCTTTGGAATAAATTCATGCCTGCATAGCAAGTCCATGGGCAGATGCCACTGACATCACTTCAAACACAGATTCCCCACTGAAGGAGGGGCTTAAATGAGTTCACCAGACCCAAGATAAATAGGTGTTTTATTGGGGAACAGCTTATATAGATAAGAGTAAATAACCGCCATGGCCTTCCTGCTTCAGGAGATGAAGTCTCTGTCCTTCTGATGCTCTCCACAACCCAAGAGAGTACTTGCCTAAAGTTCCTCTACATAAGGGGATCACATCCAAACCTGAAACCACGCCCAAAGGGTGTGGCCACTACTACAAGTTCACTGACAAGATGTCACTATATCCCACTTGTTGGGTGGCTATTGAAAACAGGAGTTTAGGTCTCCTGGCTGTCTCCCTCATCCCCACTTCTTCTCCAGGTCCAGTCTCCTGATGAGTCAATCAAGTCCTTTGCCTATCACCGAAGACTTCTGGCCCTGATTCAGAAGAGCCAAGGCATCACCAAACATGTGTGGTGCACACCATACATGGCAAACACTTTGAGACCTGGCTCTTTTACAAATGTTTTATTCAAGCCTCTAGCTAAGAAACAATAAGTTGTTCTAGGAAGTGAATAATGGCAACCAACTCAGCCTTTAGAATGAGAGCAAAATTTGAAGCGGTCGAGAGAATTGTGCTGAAATTGCAAAGCCAAGAGGCCAAGGGGAGGAGGGCATTGAGTTTCACATTCACAGAGAGCGCCAGCACTGGCCTTGAGGCCACAGGAGAAGAGAGAGGGGCTGAGGGTGGAAGAAAAAACACACAGAGACCTTTTATTGCTTTTGTTTAAGTCTAATTACAGAAATCATAAACATATGCAAAAATCTTCCATAATTAACCACCCAGAGATAATGATGTTTAACATTTAACTGTGTGCCCTTTCAGCACTCAGATGGGCTTCAGGGTGTCCTTATTATTTCCCAGCCAGCCTCCACCAACCAACAATACAGCCCAGCTATGAAGCTGGGAAGCCCATGACATAGTTCTAGGATGTGAACTAACTATTCATTGATTCAGTGATTCTTACAAGGTGCTCAAGCCCTGATTTCCATAATCTGTAAGCTGGGGACAAAAGTGTGCTAACCCCTCTCTGTCAGAAGGAGAGATGGCCCTGTCAGGAAGGTGTTTGCTGCACAAGGCCTGAGTTCAAACCCCAGGACCCAGGTAAACAGCTGAGCCTGGTGGCATTTCATTGGGAGGCAGAGGCAGGCCGATCCTTAGAGCCTGGTGGCGCTTCAATCTAGCTAGCCTAATTGGTGAGCCCCAGACTGTTAGTAGTTTTGCCTCTCAAACAAGCTGGAGGGCAGGTACCTTAGGACCACGCTTGAGTCACACCTCTGCCTTCCACATGCACAGGCAGTCACACACAGGCACCCAGAATAAAAGTATGTCATAAATTTGATGTATAAAAGATGATCAGTCAGAGCCATTATTGCTAGTGTAAGATCTGTCACGTTGTGTAAAGCAACAGCAACTTCCAATGTTTGATGGCCCAGGGTCACAGTAGATGGATTTGCTTAACCCCTTATTGTTGGACATAAGGGTTAATGGCAGTGGTATCTGACTCCTCTCCTCCCTCCCCCGTCCTTTCCCCTCCCCTCCCCACTCCCCTATCTTCCACACTCCTCCCCACCCCCTTCTCTGCTTCTGCTAAATGGAGCTGCAGGATGCCCAGGCCAAGGATCCCCAAAAGAAAAAAGAAAATAGGTAGCTGCCTGCAAATGAACTCAGCCACAGGGTGGAACACCCACGACAGATAAATCCCCGGGAAGGGTGGAAGAGGAAAGGATAGAGGTGAGAGCTGGGATTCTAAGGGCAAACACTGAGTTCATTCTGAAGTTAATCAGTTGTTTTTGCTGGGTTAAGGAGAACGATGGGAACAAAGCACAGCAACCAGAAGGATATTTTAAAATGTCGTCCAGCCCCTCTTGCTCTTCCATAATAAAATCCATTTCCTCCCCTCCGGCCAACACGTCCCACTCCACACGTGTGTGGATGCTGAGGGACCAAACTCCAGTCGTTCACACTTGCGCCACGAGTGTTTTACCCACCGAGCTATCTCCCAGCCCTGGCAGCTCCTTTAACCTCACCCCTTCCTTGCTCTCCTCCATGCACGTGTTTATTGACCTTTTAATTTTGAAACAGAGATGAGCTGATCACAGGCAGGGCACAGATGGCACCGATGCCCAAGCACGGTGTTGCACTGTATTGCAGAGATGGAAATCTTCAGCTTCGATTAGGGAGGCTGCTGCGTGAGGCTCTGTTCATTAATCAGAGCCTCCTGATAAAGTCTGCCGCAGCCAGAGTGGTGTGTTCTTTTTCCTTTTTACAGATATAAAAACCATATCATTGTCTTTATCGATCTCTGCTGCTATTATTATCAGGACACACTTTCAAAGCCACTGCCCACACTTCCCCTTCACACACTCTGCCCTGCAGCCTAGAATTCAGGATGGGGAATAGAGTAAGAGTTTAATGTCTGAGGTCTATGTTTGCCACCACGTGGAGCCCAGGGTTTGTGTGACCTTGGACAAATCACTTCATTTCTCTGAGCCTCAATGTTGCTGACATTTTATGGTTTGATCCAAAGTGCTGACCCATGGGCTCGTATGTTGAACACTTTGCTCCCCAACTGGTGGTGTATTTTGGAGGGCCATGGAGCCTTCCAGAGGTGGCACTTGACTGGTGGAAGGAGGTCACTAGGGCTGGGTCTATGAAAGCTCTACCTGGCCCCTAATTCCATCGCTTTCTGCATCCTAGTTTCTCGTGATGCAAGAAGCGTCCACCACGCCCTCCTACAATAGCAGCCACCATAATTGGCTGCAACCCTCTGAAACCATGAGCCATGATGAGTCATCCATCCCTTAAATTGTTTCCGTCCAGTACTGTGGTCATGGTGTCACATAGGAGTTACTCATACAACAGTGATGCCTACTTCCCTGGGTGGTTGAGAGCATTAAAAGACAGTGATCCAAATGCTTTGGGGAAATGGTTCCCCAGACACTGTGGGGAAATGATTTCCCAAAGTATCATGCCTAAGAATGACCCAGGGAGTTTTCCAGAATGCATATGCAAATCATATGCATGTCAAATCTGGGAGGCAAGGGATGAGGCTTCCCAATAGATGCCATGCAAAGGAACCCTTAGGATGCTGATGGAAAACCATCACTCTGCCCTTCTGTTAAGCTCTTTCCTTTTTACTGTTTTCAGCCCACATTTCCCAGTGTTCACCTCTGCCTCTGTTTCAGCATCTATGGGAAATGTTCTTTATACCACGCACTGCTCTCCTTCCCCTGGGTTTGAAAGTACTTTTTCTGTGGCTGCCATGACAAGCCTCTCTTTCCTCAGTCAAGTGACCTTTCACAGACTGAACGTTATCCATTAGCTTCGAGAAAATGATAGCAGCCCTGGTGCTGCTGGGGAAGGTCTGCTTGAGATGCCGTTGTCTGGGGGAATTTCAAGTGTTAGTCAGCAAACCATTAACCACTCATCCGGGCTTGAGCTCTGGGTCGAGTTTATAGCAGCTGGGGGTTTGTCCTTCATGTTCTAATTAATTTCTTGCAGGTTTGATTGAGAAAGCATGGATTCCTCAATAAAGTCACAGTATAATGGACCTTTCTTCCCTCCCTCCCTCCTCCCTCCCTTCTTCCTTTCTCCACCCATTAATTATACGAGAGTTCATGTCACACCTGTCCATAGGACAGGTACTGCATTCACTCACCATCCCCCCAAGTAGACGCTCAATAAATGTCTGTGGAATTGCTGTCACATTGGTAAACATCATCTATGGTATTGAGGATCTCTGCTGTCTTGATAGGCAGTGGGTGGGTGAGCGTCATTGACCCATCCGTGTCTTTTTTGTGAGCTGATGATGCAGTGGCCAGCTCTGAGGCAAAGCCAGCAAGGACAAGAATGTTCCATTATCTTCAGTGCACCAGGGCATGCTGTGTGAAACTAGAACCCTGAGGTGCCAACCTAGACAAAAAAGGGGTTCAGATTTTCACATTTGCAACAAAACTCCTGTCAATCACACTGCCAAGACTGGACTAATATCTGAGCTGTGTGAATATATTTCTTTCCAATTTTTCTGTCAATGGAAAATACCTGTGTCTACCAAATTGCCAACCAACACATACACTCAAAGACAAGGGAAAGTCAGCATAAAATTGGAAACAGAAACCTGAGTTAACCTGCCATAAGTGTGATAATTTACACTTAAGTCTGTGTCTAGTACCAGGCACTGCATTCCTTATCTCATGCAAAATGTTTTCCAGTAAATTGATCTGGTCCAAGGACAGAGCTGGCCTCATAGATGATGCCACAGCCCATGATCATCACAACAGACACTCTAAGT